TTTGATTAAGGTTATTTTATCCATTATCTAGTAAGAATTGAAGAATGCGCTTTACACAACCTTTTTTTGCTAAATCAATAAAGCGAAGATTAAAGTTTTGACTAGGTAATTCTCAATCAATATACTTGCTGAATTTTTTCCTACTTAAGGTGTATACTAATTCAGTGAATGCTTTGAGCTTATGGTGATTGATAAGAAGAGCTGATGCATATAAAATATGGTAACTACTCTTGCTAGAATCTGAAGATATAGCAATAACTAACTCATTGAGAATATTTTTTTAACTATAGTTAAGAATTCAATATAAGGCTCTTATGAAAGATAGGAAATGAATACTTCTTACGTCTTAACTCTATTTACTTCTATATTCTTTTATATAACATTTATATCAATTACAGTTCTTAATAGTTTTTGACCATTAATGCATTTATGAATCCCAGGTAAACCATATACTTCAAAATGTTATTTGCAACGGAAAACTTTGAAGCTCAATCATCTTGATTGATTCTAATAACCAATTTATCTTCTACTTTATTCCAGTTATAAGCATTATATAAATTAGACACTTTTTCATTCAGAAAGAAAAATGAATAGATTAAGAGATATTCTAATGACCCTTTTTATCTGATATATCTCTAAAACTCTGAACAGTTCAGTTCAGTCTGGATTAGATGCTAATCTGAATCTGAACTGAACTGCAAACTGGTAAAAATCTGAACTGAATTAGAATTTTTAGATTAATCTAAAATTACAGTTTAATTATATAAGAAATTTGCAATTTATATGCAAAACTCTAGGAGAATCGCAAAAAATTGAAATTTAAAGAGAAATTGCAAAAATTGCGATTCTCTAAAAGTTCACTAAATTTTTGTGATCCTTTTAAAGAATTTGCAAATTTTGCGATTCTTCAAGAGTTTCATATATAATCGAATTGAACTTTTAGATTAATCTAAAATTATCAGTTTAGTTCTGATTTTTTTCAGTTCAGATTAGAATTATAATCTGAAAAAAATCTGAACTGAACCAAAAATTTTCAGATTGAATTTTATGCAATTTGAAACTAATCTGAACTGAATCGATTCAAAAAGTCTTCAGATTAATCTGAACTATTCAGAGCTTTATATATCTTTAGATAGTGATAGAAAAATTTTTCAGATAGTATTTAGCAAGTCCTTGAAAGAAAAATTATCATTAAACTTTTCCTGTTTTAAAGTATATGTCACATTAATTTTTTGCTCTTTTACATTTAGTGGTTGAACCAATAGAGTCTTGATAATGCTAGTTAAAATGCAGAGAGCTTCTTCATTATCTGACTCATAATTAGACTCATAGTTATTATAATCATCTGATTCTAAATCAGATTCATCATTATAGCTATTTAAGTCACTCAAGTATTCATCAGGACTAGCGCTATTATAGCAAATAAAAGTTCTGTGATCAATTTGGTTGAAATTAGTTAGTGTATATATAATATTAGTTTGAAAAGTTATACTATCTCTATAAAATTCAAAAATGTTTAATTTATTTTTTTCAGAGGGTGTAAAAAGAAGCTATAGCGAACTTAGTCAGCAAATTGAAAATGAAAGGCAAACTGATATATATCAAAAATGTAGACTTCTCCATAATACAGATCTCTGCCAAAAGTCTTCAAACATTTTTTGGCTTAATATAAAACTTGGAATTTTTAAATTTTATTAAAAAATATTTTATTAAAATATTTATTAAAGTACGATATGCTACACATCTAGTACTAAATAATTAGTACTTAGTCAGAACTCCATTTGCTTCAATTACAGCTTGAATTCACTGCGATATACTATTGATCAAATTTTCGATAGTTTGTATCAGAATTTATTTCTATGCTCTTATAACATATTGATCGAGTTGAGTAATGTTAGAAGGCAATTTTTTTCTTTCACAGATGCTCTTCTTGACTTTGGCTCATAGATTCTTAATAGGATTGAGATCTGGACTTTAAGCAGGTCATAGAAGTACGCGTAGACCATTTTCTGCATGAAACTTCTTTGCAAGTTTCATTTTGTGAGGGCGAGCATTATTCTTTTAGAATATACCATTACAGTTTAGAAATGCACGTCTTATAGTTAATATGATACATTTGTAAAGAATGATGATATATGTAGCATCAGTGATTATTTAAGATAATGAAACAATCGATCTTAAACCTTATCTTGAAAAGCATACCCAAAGCATTTAGCTAGAGCTATATTTTACTGTGGTAGAAATACAAGAAATGTTTCATTTTTCATGATGTTCACGTCACACTCGATTATAACGACTTTATTGGAATTGTGAAAAGATAGATTTGTCACTCTACATGATCTTTGACTAATCATCCTTTATCTAACTTTGGTATTTCAAACATCATATAAGACGTGCCTTAATATTTATTGGTGTAATTAAAGGCTTTCGTTGAGCAATACAATTGTTTAACTTAGCTACACAAAGTGCTTAACTAATAATGTGAGCTGAAACATCTTAGCCAGTCTTTTTTTGCCAGAGTTGTTGTACTTCTGCAGTGCATAAGTGATAATTTTTTTCTTTATAATTAGTAACAATTTGCTTAAGTTGGCTTCGCCTCAAATCTTTAATTAAGGGTGGTCAACCAGAACAAGACTTTGAATTAACAGTTCTGAAGTCATTCATTCTTTTTAAAGTATCAATGAACTGTTGACTTTCACAACTGATAGTCACAGCAATTGTTCGATAACTATCACCGCATTGATGGCAAAAAATTATGCTATTGAGTTATTCTATTTTTAATTCTTTGAACATTTTATTGTTTTGATCTAAAATCAAAATAAACAAACTAAACACAGTTTGATTTAAGTAAATAATATCTAGAATATTATATAACCGCAATTTTATACAGTCACATGATGTAATCAGTATGAAAAAACCTCTGAAAGATGGTGTCTGAAGACTTTTGGCAGGGGTCTGTATATTATATAAATATTAGGAGAAGCCTAAACTTTTCTAGATATGTACTCAGGTATGTCATTCAGGATAGGTAAATGCGTAATCTATTATATAAATATTAGCACTTACCTATCCAATCACTAATATAAATCTGGATATTCTTCAGCGTAATCTATTATAAAAATATTGATACTTGAATACTATATCACTATTATGTATCTAGGTGTAGCATAAAGGCTACATCTCAATGGTATATATTCAGGCATTTGTATTATATACAGTGGTGAGCAAAAGAAACGTAACTACTATTGGTTACCTTTAAAAGCTTATAACAGGTTAACTATAGAGGCTAAAATCATAATTTTATATTTATTTTAAAGCCTAAATCTTAAAGAATAACCTAATATAAATTTAATATCCAGTTAATAATGCCAAATTTATGTAATTTAATGATTTACATCAGAATTTCTTACTTAATAGACTTTGAGCATAGAAAATTTTTTTTTGGTAGGCTCACTACTATCCACTATTGATCTGCGGTGAAATTTGAAAACCCATCACTACAATCGACTTTCTTCAGGATTCATCTATTTTTTTTTGTACTATTTTCAAAACTTGCGATGTAATTATACCCTTTTCTATTCAAATTCTCTTAACAATCTACTTTGTGATGCTCAAGAATAGACAGTGCATTGAATCGACCGTAATAAGTCAAACAGGATTAAAATATGAAAGACACAGTAATTCAAATCACCTGACACTAGTTTTCTTTACAAACTGCTTTCTTGATGCGTCTGAATAGTAGCATCTCTATCCCAAAGCATTCTGATGATGTTGATCCAGATCTCTAAAAATAAACCATTCATCCATATTATTCATATCAGCAAAATTGTGTTATCTGTTTTTATAATTTGCTTTCTTTTTGCATCTATGGCATACCACTAAAGTAGAAACATGGTCACATATCTTTCTTGCAGCCGATATGTCATATGAAACAAGTATTAGAGCTATGCGTATTCTTTTTCCTTCTTGATGACATTCATATGTTTGATTTAAAGTCACACCTTCCTAAAGTGATACCAAGTCATCTACAATTGGTGTCAGATAGTAGTTTATTTTATGCAAGCTAACCTCATCTGGATCAGGTAACAATCTGAGGATTAATATATTTTCACGTTTGAATCAGATATCTCTCAGAAGGTTATAGATTGCAGCATATAATACTTCATGCTATATATTATACCTTCAAAAGGTTAGAACTAATTTAAATTCAAAACTAACCTAAGATGTGAATCGGCAACATTATATCAAAAAAATTTTTTGAATTTTCGTCTGTACTTTCTTTGAAAGTTTTTCAAATATTACTGTTATAGATATCAGTTAATATATTATTAAAAGTTGGCTAATTTACCTAATGCCATAGAAAACCTTCAAAAAAAAGTCGATAATATAAGGTTTTTAATTGTTTTCTAACACTAACAAATGGAAATATCAATTCAGGTTTGATCAAAATATCATTTAATAATCTCATTTGCTGTGATAAAAGCATTTGACATAATCTTAATCTTCGAGTTGTTAAATTAGGGAATTCGACATGACGGCATTTCATAACAATAAGGTGTTCATCTTATTGAAAATTTTTTACCTCCTATTTGTTATATAATTTATGACATTTAGGACAAGCCACAAAACCATGAAATTTATCTTTAAGGCTGAGTGTTTTTCTCGCAAGATATAAAGTTTTAGAAAATGAATCAAAATCAGAACTACTAATTTCTATTAAAACAAGCTTCATGAACTGTATAAGTGATTCTATAGCTATTTTCGGTAAGTTAAATCTTGTTTGAAAACTCATTATCCACAATAATATCCATAAAAATTGACTATTATTTATTGTATATGAATCTGTAAGTGGTTCAAAGGGTGGACATGAATAATCCTCAAAAATTTTGTGAAGTTCATTATTAGGTAGGTTATTATTGGATGAATTAGAACCACTATTGATATTTTCATCTTCTTCTGTGATACATTTAGAAGTATCAGTTATTGTATTTTCTAATTCAATGGCAATAATCGGTCAATTTACATATCTTTTTAATCGTTGTCGAGGTAAGAAGTTAAATTCAGTTTCATCATTTTTTGTATGTCCACCTTCGTATTGATCGTCTCTGTGAAATTTAGCTTCTGGTTAGGATTTGGCCAATATCTCATCAGGTGAATGTCTCTCAATCTCTGTCTTTTCTGAATTATCTTTTAAGTTTTGATTTATTTTATCCTCTAGATTTTGATTAATTTCGTGAAGAACTTTTATATGATAGTCAACCAATTTTCTATTGCATTTAATACAATCACACGCGATCAATCTTCCACTATATGATATTGCAGAAGAAGAGTGTTCTGAAAATTCTTCAAGTATACCAGATATGGTTCTGTTTCTTTATATACGTGATGAAGGTAGTGAAGGTTATGCATAAGATCTATCTGGATCTTCATTAAGTACGCTTGATATTGACCTTTTTCTCATTATTTTGTGAACAATATTAATTTGTTAAAGATATTATTATAGACTTAAAGAAGATAATAGTAATGAAATTAAAACTTTTGAATATTATAAAAAATCAGCTGATGAAGAATATAAAGATGCATAATTTCAACTTAGATATTATTATTTTATTAAATCACTTTAATTAAATTAAACATCAACATTTAAATTGATAAGCATATTTTAAGTTGATTTGATATTTATAATAAAATTTAAAATTTGATTAATCAAAGTATATTTAAGTTGATTGATATTTAAGATGATTTGATATCTATTTTAAAATTATAAAAGAGACCTCGTTTTCTTCATGAATATCCTCACTTCTCTCTTTTATATTTTTCTACACTACTGTCAATTAATATGAATTAAAGAGAAAAAATTTTAAATAATAAAAGTTCAAACAATACCTGTTCACGTTCGTTAAGCCAATCGACTGAAAAGGAATCTGATAATCCTAAACATTCGACTCAAAGAATCAATTTGATTAGTTCCAGACCTCCTTTGATTCAAAGAATCAATTTAACTGATTTCAGACCTCCTTTAGCTTCTTCTCTACAAAAATCTAATTTAACTAGTTCCAGCCCTTCTCCTTTGGCTTCTTTGTCTCAAAAAACTAAGTTAATCAGTTCCAAATCTTTTTTAGCTTCTTCAGATCATTTAACTAGTTCTAGTCCTTCCCCTTCAGCTTCTTCAGCTAGTTCTAAACCCTTTTCAGCTTCTTCGACTCAGAAACCATCCATCAACCTAGAAAAATTAGTAGCTATAAAAGAAAGGTATGGTATTTAGCTACCATCAAGATATGAAAAAGATATAGTGATGGAGGCATCAGAAAAAAGGGAAGAATACAGGAAAAAAACTTCCAGTGATGATATGGATTTATCAGGTCAGTATATATATATATTATCAGTTTATTTTTTGTTAATGACTTTTATATCTTTTATATTTTTTACACAGAGAACAACTACCAGAATTTAGCAAAAAAATTATCTGATTTACGTATGAAATACAATCAGTTAGAATGATGAAATGAGAAATTATCAAAACATGCAGAAAAGTATTTCATAAAATAAATCATTTAAGGGAGAACAACGAAATACTTACTGGTGTTAATTTAGATTTTAGTAATGAAAATGATGAATTAAAGAATAAAACGTAGAACTAAAAAAGCATTTAGTTGAAGCCAAAATTCTGTATTATCATTTAGTGTATTAAATAACTTTTCTGGTTTTGATAATGAGCGATTGATAAAACGTTCTAAATTTGATAAAAAATCAAAGAAGAAAGAAAAAAACCATTATGTTACGCTAATAATAAGGATTATAAATCATTAAAAAGTAGCAGCTCGACAGAAAAATCTGAAGAAACGAAAGCAAGGGTATGTAAATTTGTACAGTATACATTGAACAGATTTATACTTTTATACTAATTGTTCTGATTTTAATTTTTATTTAGAACGAGATGAAGGTTATACTAAAAACAATCAAGCCAATTAACAATATTGACTACAATGAGATATTCAATAGCGAATGAAACATTCGAATCTGTAGCAAACTAATTCCAGAACTCTAGAGAGCGTTGAGGTCACATTTTCGTCCTTCAGTTGGTTAACTAATGAAATTGCTTAATAGCCTTCACAAGTCTTGTCATTCGTAATTTAAGTTGAAGAATACTGGAAGAATTAGTGAAGATAATTGTCATATTCACAATAATGGTAAGATACAAGATGTAAATACAGAGGGTGGACAAAAGTATCCGCACACTTTTTCACTCAATATAAAACTTCAAAAAATTTTGCATTAACTAT